TCATCCAAGTGCCCAACCATTATATGCTTTGTAATTTGTATAATTTAAATTTAAATGAAATAAAATTTCCATTTTCTTCTAATTTTTTATTCCATTCTTATTTGGTTAAGTATTTTTTCATTTATTTGTTAGATTTCTCATTTATTTTTTATTTTTCAAATAGTTCCCAAAGCCCAAAGGAAAGTTAAATATTTTAGTTTTGCACTTTTACTTAGCAAATAAATAGAAAAAAATCAAAAAATCAAAAATAACAAAAAAAGGTAAAAAACCAATCTAGCCCGATTCAGCCCACGCCCAAGGCCCGACCTGTGGCCTAGCCCAACACGGGCCTGCATGGGCTTGGGTCGTGGGCTGGGTCGGGCCGACCCCCCAAGTTATCCCTAGGGAGGGCGACACAGCTTGGAACGACCCGTGGGCCGATACATGGCCCGCACTTTGCGTGGGCAACCCGTTTTACACCTTTACCTATGTAATATTTTTTTGTTTTCATTGCACTTTTCTTTTGTTGATGGTGTATTTCATTATTTTATTGGTGCTTTGTTTAGTGTATAGTATGATCACTTTTGGGCTATGCCATATACAATTTGAAAATTTTAATTTTTTTTTATTTCATTTTATTGTGATGAAATGACTTATGTTTTGGAGTTTTAATGCCCCTGAGTTGGATGCTTGAACATTTGTTAGTGGCGTCTGAACCTCTCTCTCTATCTATCACTGAAGATGGCCTCAAAACCGTATATCTTTTGCGATGTGACTATCATTGTATAATAGACTTGTTCTCTTCAACTCCAAGAAAAAAGATATTATAAATTTTCTCTTCAACTCCAATAAAAATATTATAAATTTTTCTATAATAACATCGAATTGTCAAAGCAGATCAAGGGTTAATGGGGTTATGTACAAGGTTTTTCTCTTAATTTTAAAAGTTGTGATGAAACAATCTATGAGTGAATGTTGTGGCTAATTCCCACTCTATGTATATTATTTTTATAAAATATATTTATTTAGAGATGACTTAATTGTTATAATCACTTTGATATAATTATAAAATAAATAATATTCACTTAAAGCAAAAGACTTGTCTTATCAATTTCATTCGTCATAATTAATTAAGATTTAGGTAGTGTTTGATAGTGTAGTGAACCCACGAGATAGTGGGTTTACCCCTCTCCTTATCCATTAGTTCACATGTTTATTAATTCATACAATATTCTTTTATTATTTGTCTTCTATCTAACTAATAATATTTATCTTACCATTACAATTGTTAGTAATTGGTATTAAAAGTGATGGTGCATGATCCGGTCACTCCTAACTGGCACTTACATGGCTCGTAGAAGGTACCTGAGATGGAGAAGAAGAAGAATCTCCAGGGGCTTGTCCGGCAGGAACACTCCGATGCTTAAGTTAGTATTCTATAGGAGAAGAAAGGAAAAGATGAAAGCGAAGAGTGCAGATAGCACGAGAGTAGAAGATGATACCTCCGTCCCTTGATATTAGCTCCTTATAACAGAAATCCGTTGTATCAGGTCCACCGGCCTCTGACAGGGCAGGTATAACCACCACTATCAGTCTGTCGTAGCCGTTACTGGCTGGGCTGAGGTGGCACGCGTGGGGCCGTCATCGCAGGGTACGTGCCTGTCAGGTGTAAGACACCCTCTAAAGGTGGTAGGCACGACGCTGTCTAACGAGGGATATGGCTGCTACCCCTAGATTTGTCAGGTACGGTGGTCGGGCAGGAGATTTTCCTGCGATACGCCGAGCTACCCTTCCGCGAGTTACTCTGTGTCGGGCTATCTCGTAAGCGACGAGCTACCTGTGGCAAGCTAAGTTGAGCTGTCTGGCCCGAGGTGTCTTTACCTCGGGGTATCTATAGGCGGATCGGTGTGTTCCTGTCTGGGAGAAGCTTCTTGAGGAGTGCTCATGCGGCCCATTCCTAAGCTACTTTGCAGCGAGCTCGGAATACTTCAGGATTACCTTTAACAGAATTGGTCCTTGGGGTGACTTGTTTGCTTGGGAGCTTGGGCGAGCTAGTTCCCTTAGCTCGCGAGCTAAAGTTACCTCGGAGTATCCCTTCAAAGGTAGCTCGGGGAACCCGAAACTCGCGTTGTGGCAAGCTTCTCCCTTTGTGGGCTATGATGTAACGAGATGCTTTATGGGCCCGTCACCCGGTTGCACTAGACTACAATGCTGAGCTGTTGTTCGTGCTGGGTCAGTGTTCGTGTGTCACCGTTTCATAGGTCGGGTCAAATCGTCCCCCATCAAAAAATATGAATTTTACTTTTCTATGTTTATACTAATTTTAATAATTCTAGATTAATTTTCATTAATTATTTATCATGAATATTAGTTCTCTTATGTGTGTTTTATATTTTTATATAATTGTTAATTTTTTAGTGATTATTAATATTTTGAATTCATTTGTTAATTTTTTATTAATTTGTATTAGCTATGGCTAAATTGATCACATGTTAAATTAATTTGTATTATTAATTAATATTTTGATTGAAGAACACAAAAACTTATTACTCTTGATCAACATCGTAGATAATCTCACATTGTGTATCTGAGATACATAGAATCAAAGCACAAGATGTGGCATGAACCACACCACAACTCACCTATTCTGATATGGCATGTTGTGATTGAGAATATACTAACCAATTTCTCATCCACACTACAGAACACCCCCTTAGGAGGGCAAAAATATGTAAGAAACCATTCAAAACCACTTGAATCTTGGATTAGGTCCAATCCAAGTCTAATTGATGTTAGGGGTTGAGTTAGATTAAATGGATGGGATTCAAACCTCTTTTTTGGAGTTTTAATGCCCTAAATTGGATGCCAAACCCTTTGTTGGTAGAATTTGAACCTCTCTTTATATGTCACTTGAGGGTCTTGTCTCCCTTGTGATGTGACTATATCACTGCATGGCAAATTTTTCTTTTCAATTTCTAATAAAAATATATATTTTTTATAATAACACCAAATCATCAAGAGAGCGAATCAAGGGTTTCATTTGTTTTTACAATATGCTTATATTTATTTATTTAGAAATTGCTCATTTGTTATCATTACCGTTCAAATATAGTTGGATATTTGATCGGATTTGTTGCGAGTTTGGTTGAGGGTGAAAGGCCAATTTAGATTAAAGTGATAACGTTAGTCAGTTTTGTGTTATCAAGAAAACAAAAGAGGTCATTAGATATTCACCCAAAGTAGGGAGATTGGGCTTACATTAAATATTCAGCGAGACACGGATTGCATTAACTTTGTGTGGCCAATTGATGTTTAAAAGAGAGAGAGTGATACGATTTAAATTGTAATATTTACAAGGCAAAATTTATATATTGCATCAATTTTCATACAATGTATTATAGATTTTTCATAACTATAACTTACTTTTAGATATTTCAATTAGGTAAATTAAGAAAATTAATTTAGCATAGTTTAATTAGTTATCTTAGTTAATATATTAAAGTTAACTTAATTGATTAAAGATGGTAAATTGAATAAATTATTAACTTAATTACATATTTTAATTGCATTAATTACTTAAAAAATAATAATAATTTTACAATTACAATCAATAAATTTAAAACAATTAATAATTTCTTTTTAAGAAATGCAGTAAGTGAATTTAAGTAAGTTAACATACATTGGAGGGGAGGGGGAGAGAAGGGGATGTAGGTATTTAATCAATATCTTTTCAAGGGAGATGTTCCCTAGCTCAAAATAAGCTATAATAGAGATATTGACATTTTTATTTTACTACTTTTTTTTTTTTTTGGATCATCTATTTTACCATGGCAATTGATATCTCCAAAACCCTTTGTTGGATTTTTTATCTAATTGAGGGAACCAATGCTTGCTGACCTTATCTCTGTTGGAAGCTGTTTTTTCCTCCTTAGCGTTCCTACATTTTGCACCACTTGCAAAAGGATTCTCGAGTTAGTTTCTCAAGTTCAGATTGGCGCCCCACACGCACATCTCAATATGCATTGGGAACATCTCCCACACTTGTTATTGGAAGATGTTCCTGATTTTATTTTTTTTGACATTTTGGTGATACATGAATTAATTCGGAAATTGAACCTGCAGGACAAACCAGCTAACTACCACCCTTCAGTGATAAGAATGTAACACTTAAATATTATCAAACCGGCTCATATCAAATTTGATAGGAGTGGGTCCAAATTAATTGGAAACAATCATAACCAGATAATTTAGTTGGATTTAAATTGGAATTTAGACAAATTTATACCTTTTACACCTAAGGCTGCAATTTGGATCATGCTAGTTACAAGTTGGGTTGGAGTTCGACTAGTGTTAATGATTGAAAAAGCATGAACCCTAACTCAACTTCAGGTTAGGTTGGAGTGAGGCATTTGAACAGTCTAATCCAATCGAAATGTGACATGTCTTCGTAGAAAAAATCTATGATGCCAGAAAGACGTGATATCAGAAGAGTTTTGCTCGAACAAAACTCATTCATGAATTTTGACAAATTTCACCTGTTTAGTTATATACCAATTGATGGTCACAAAATTTTCAGATATCATGTCTTTCCGTTATCATAGTCAAACCTCCCTTCATATTTATATGTATAAATATCATACAAATATATACATGTATTACTCTTACGCTAATATTCCTGAGACATCCTAACTATATTCTCTAAAACTAACATTCACCTACCATTCTTTATGTTTAACGAATAAGTTTGGGATGAGAACAAATACAACTATGTAAAGTGAGCATTTTTGTATCTGTATTTGTTACTCTTCCCAAACTGAGAATTTTTACACTTCTCCGTTTGGCAAATACAAGATGATGTATTGCCTGGACAAACCCAAAATATTTCCTGGAAATCTTCTCATCAAAAAGCATTTTCCCGGTCAATACAAAGAAAGTTTGGGGCAGATTACGTCAAATTGATTTTCTCGCCAGTAGATCATCTCAACCGCAATATTTATATTTTATTTAATTATTTAGAAAAAGAATAAAAGGAAAAACTCTCCCTCAGACTAGGGTTTCTCTCCCCTCGTCACTCAGCTCTTTCCTTCCAAACCCTCTCCCTCTATCTCCAGAAGAAGAACCAGAGATAAAACTCACAGTGGCTTCAGGTACTTTCTTATCTATATATCAGAAGCGTAGAGATAGTGTCATATATCCGTTTTCAGTACGGGATTTTCAGGGTTCAATGTAATTTAATGGAGTTTCTCGAAACATGTCGGTTTTTCGGACTTTAATGGCTACTGCAGTGTCTCAATCTGTTACTGTGGAGCCAAAAAAGTAATAGGAAAGGTGAAAACGGAAAGGGTAAACGGAGGTGTGTGTTGCAGTTTCGAATGGAGTTTGGCTAAGATCAATTGAATGCCTGCTATAAACCCTCCGTTTGATGTAGAGATCGACACTAAAACAGTCTGTATCAGTTACTTTATCCTTGTATGGTGTGATCAAAATTTGAGAATATAATTAAATCGGTTAATTTGAGGAAATTTATCCTGAAGTGGAAATAGTGTATAAAAGGGAATATACTAGTATCTTCTTGAATCTTTGATTCTATTCACGTTCACTATATTATCTTGTTTGATTGTATATGGAATGCCGATGTCTGTGAAATCTTAATTCTATTCGAAGAGAATTAATTATGTTTAAGTGTTTATATGCCATTCTACTGTATCGAATTTTGAAAACTATTTTACCCGGAAAATTATTTCATGAAGCCAATTCTCAATGACTGCGTCTGGATTCAGGTGGACGAAAAGTGAAACAGGATTCTGCCTTCCCTGAATCGGTAGGTTCTAAATGACCAGCCCATCCATGAAAGCGTCATCCATTAAACTAGAGAATCTGCTATTTTCCAGGTTCCGCCTAGCTTTATTTTGCAGCCGAACAACAAAACATGGAACGTAATATTGTGGAAAGCGGGATTGCATTTCTGCCCCACGTTACCGTTTCCCCTCCAATCCATGTTCTGTATATTGTTGCGAAATTTTTTGCTATTGATCCACTTATAAGTCCTCATTTTCTTGTAATTGGTATATATGGGAGAAGAGCTTTCTACCTTTGGGGATTTACAGAATTGTTCAGATGCATTCTGCTACCCATCTTTGCCCTTTCATTTGTCATTGTTGACATCCTTCCCCTTGCCCACAATAAAGATGCTTGGGGAGTGTTGAATACTTGTACATTGAGCTTTCTTCTTATGTTCTATGATTGATTCCCAGCACATTTTTAGCTGTTCTCTTACTGTATGTGCCTAACATATGACTACACCATCTAGATTCTAAATTCTATTTTGCAATTATTTGTTTCCAAGTTTGGACTCAATGCTGTTTATCTATTCTAGGAGGCCCTGACTGTGTTTTTGCACTTAATTTTTGTATTAATGGATATGAATGTAATTATTAGTGTGGCATCTATTTCCAATTAATATTTCATCTGGGAGATCTTTGGGGTGGAAACCACTTTAGCAAAAAACGTGATCTTTCTATACCTACAACAATCATAACAACAATAATCTAACTTGATGATCGTTTCAATAAGAAAGTGGAGACACACACCCATGACTGTGATAGAAATTGCTGGTTTTGCCGTTTTTTTTGTTCTGCAAATTATTTGCATCATACTGAAGTTTAACCATGATTTCTCTTACAAGCATTACTTTTCAATTGGTTTGTCATCTGTACATCCTTGATTATTTTAAGCTCAGTTTATCCCTTACTCGTCCATATATCATGTTGGATTGATCATCTTGCTGTACTAAATTGAGCAATATCTGCATCACTTAGCAAGAATTTTATAAAATTAAGAGAGCTAATATGCTAAAGTCATTGTAGTTAAAATATTGCTTGGGCAATTGCCTTAGGGTTAAGGAAGACCATCCCCTAAGTCACTAACTAGGTGGCTGTTTAGATATAAATGACATAGTTGGGGCAAATCATGCCCCTTTACATATTAATATGAGCATGTATAACCCATTTTTGGTCCATATGAGTGTATGTAGAGCTAAAAACTAGGTCTCTTAATCCTTGTTTGTGGCTTCTTGATAGTAAAACTTATGAGGTTTTTGTAACTGACTTCTTGATAGCTTTTTATGTGGGAGCTTATTTAGCTTTTGATGTTCTTAATATATTATGGACTCCATTTTCAGTTGGGAAGACGATAATTTTGAAAATGAATTTCTACCTGGAAATTGATGGTGAAAATTGTTCAAGGCAAGAATATGGAATTATTATTTCACAGTATTTACTTACATGACATGAAAAATCTTTGGAATTTTCTAGATATATAAATGTTGCTTACAGATCTAACTTTGGACTAAGCCCATCCCCCCAAAGGTCTCTGTTTTCTGCTGGAAAGTGATCCTTGGGAAGGTTAATACTTTGGAAAAGGTGCTGAAGAAAAGGCCTTACTTGTGCCTGTTCCCAAACTGGTGTTCCCTTTGCAAATCCAATGGTGAGGACTGTTTCCACCTGTTTTTATCTTGCCCTATTGCTATAGCTATTTGGTGTTGGATCTTTGCCTTGTACGATTGCAAGTTGATGCTGCCAGCAGAAGTCTCTCAGCTATTTGAACCCTCAGTCCTTGGCAGGCAATCTAAAAGAGGAAGGTTAATCTGGAGGAAAGAAACTTTGGAATCTTCCAAAATAAGGAGAGAAGCCTCTTCGAGCTGAAAGACTGCATTTTGATAAGGGCAATACACTGGTTGAAAACAACAAACTTATCCCAGCTCTTTTCCTTTGATGACTTCTGGAGGAACTGGTCAATGGTGGCTAGCACTTCTTCCTCGAAACAGAGTTTCGTTGCAGTTTGGGTCCCTCCTCCTGAGGGTTTTGTTAAACTAAACTTTGATGGGAGCAGCCAAGGTAACCCTGGCCTCTCTGGCATAGGAGGGATCTTGAGAGATTAGGACAGAAATGTCTTAGCGTTATTCTCAGGCTCAGTCGGTTTAGGAGATTCTACCAAAGCAAAGCTTCTAGCTGTTTTACAGGGGATTCAGATAGCTAGTCAACTTGGTATAGAAAGGCTGATAATTGAAGGGGATTTCCAGGTTGTTGTGGGCTGGTTGCTGAATCTAGATTCAACTGTCTGGGGTCTAAGAGATCTTCTTAAGAAGGTGGTTTGGTTAACAAGAAATATGATAGTAAGGATCCATTGGATAAGAAGATCAGCAAATGAAATGGCTGATTTTCTTGCAAAACAAGGGGTTAACAGGGACTCTCTGTTTTGGGCAGCTTTGTAATTGTGAACTACCTCTCTACTAGTGGTTTTCTGTTTTTCCTGTAGTTCTGATATTTTCTTTAGAGTGAGGCTGCACCTTGAGCCTCTCTTTGGGTTTATGTGTAACAGATCTCTCTTTGATTAATGAATTAATTCTCAATTATCAAAAAATGAGCAACCTTTATGGAAACCTTCCCTTATCTGTTTATAGTTAAGGACTGCTACGGATTTCTAAATGGAGCTGTGGTATGGAATCCCCAATTCAGGACAAATGTGAATGACTGGGTGACTGGATCAATGGCGGATTTACTGTAGAAAATTCAAAATGTTATTCCACAGGTGGGTGAAGCAGACAAAAGGTGCTGGGAGGGGGATAGGTCAGGTCCTTTCTCCGTCAAGTCTTTCTTCAAGAAGCTGGGCCATCATCATAGTCATGACTTCCCCAGCCATGCAATTTGGCACCCAATAGCACCTTCAAAAGTCTCTTTTCTACTATAGATTGCGATTCTAGAGATAGGCTATTGAGCAAGGAATGATATTAGAAAAATGTTGTAATTTTTCTTGGCTGATATGGAGATGGCAAATAATCTATTTCTTGACTGCAAACATATGGTTTGTAGCCCTGTTCACATTCAGATGGAGTGTTCCCCCCGCCCCAAAGTCTTGAACATTTTCTCCTTTGATGGCAGATGGAAGGTTTGAGCAAGAGAGGAAAAGAAGTTAGGGGTCTAATGCCTTTGGCCATATTCTGGTGTGTCGTGTGTGTGGTCTGAAAGAAATGCCCTGGTGTTTGGAAATAAGTCTAGATCTAGCACATGTTCAGTCATGCTAGATTGCTAGGGAGGATCAAAGGTATGATCTGTTCATGGCTAGCTGTTCACAAAGAATTCAAAGGACTATCCTATATTCCATCATAGATTTTTTGGCAAGGATATTTTGTTCATATGTTAAAACAATACCAAATATACTATGTATAACCCATACAGTGCCTTGGTGTACATGGCTGTTGGATCATCCTGTAATAATTTCTTTCCCAGTGAAACAATACTTGTTAAAACAAAACAATGCAATAGTCAGAAGGGTTGATTTGTTTCAAATTGGAGGTTACACAAAGGAGGTTGGGAAGGACATTGATTTCAGTAATGAGCACGATTTGATCACTTTATTCTCTACTCTAAGAGAAGATACTGCCCTAGAAAGGATAGAATGGAGGAGCTATATTTTCCAATTTTGTTGTAGTAGGATTCCACTTGTGGAAAATGGAACAAATCTAGGTGGTGTTTGGCACGTCTTTTGGTCTGCGGGAAGCTCAAAAGGCCATCTCAAAAGACCAAAAATGGTCTTTTTCCGTTTCGTATTGCATAGACCAAAGGCCAGAAGACAAGTGTGCGGAAAGACTGAAAAAGCTGAAAATTAGGAAGACCATGACGTGAACCAAACAGTTTTGATCTTTAAAGACAAGACCCCAAAAGCTCAGTGTCTTATTGTCTACTGGGCTGTTGAAAGATCTATCTAGACAGACTTGCCAAACAGCACCCTAATTATTGTAGTTCTTTTAAATGACCTTCACTTGCTATGAGCATTTAGTATGTTGTTTAATCTAGGTTATTGTCCAGGATAGAATGAGAATTACTTTTTTGTGAAGGTGATTCAGCTTAATAACGTAAGAGCTCTTATCTCTTTCTCTCTGTCACCTTTTCCTGATAAGTAATAAAAATGATCTGTTAAATTGATGGGAAGTTATTGATGCAGTTCTTTCATTTTAAAAGTATGAATATATACTTTTATTTGTCTTTGCGGGATTTTGTTAGGTCTATAATTAATGTGTTTTAGATACTATACTTTTCTTTTGTGGGGCATGTGTTTTGTGTTGACTAAAAGTGAAGTTGGAAGTCATTGCTTAATATCATTTTTTTTTTGATAAGCATCATGCTTAATATCCATTGACCAAAGTGCTAGTAAACAGGACAGAGCTGCTTCTTGCATGCTTATAGGTCATTATTATTGGCTTTTCTAATCAATTTTTATAACACAGGTCTTCTTATACAAAATGTTTGAGCATTGCCTATGGAAGGATTAAGATTGGTAGTGGAATCTGTTACGTGGTGACTTAAAACGGTCTGACTTCATATACACAACAAACCTTACACAGATGGCAAGTGCAGACATTGCAAATTCAGTTCTTGCACAAGCAGAAGAAATCAAACTTCAGGCCAATGAATCATTTAATGGTAAATCTTGTTCTACCTATTTTGTAAGTTTATGTCTTAAGGCAAAAACTTGCCTATTGGGTCCTTGTTCTAAAGTAGGTAGGTTTGTAACCTTCTTTTGTAAAGAATGGACTTTAGAGCAAGCATGGTACCACTACAATATGATGATGGTTAAGTAGCATTTTTATTTCTTCTTTTTTACACATGATGTTGAAAGATATTCTACTAGATTTTTTATTCTACTTTTCCTGTTATTGACCTGCTGAATTTTGCTTTTCAGCTAACAAGTTTTCACAAGCTATTGATCTGTACACCCAAGCCATTGAGTTAAATGGTAAGAATGCTGTATATTGGGCTAATCGGGCCTTTGCCCACATTAAGTTGGAGGAATATGGTAGTGCTGTTCAGGATGCATCAAAGGCTATTGAAGTTGACCCAAAATATGTTAAGGCATGGTTATTGCACCGTACCTTTCTGCCTTTTGTTTGTATCAAAGTCTCGGGTTCTTGTCTGAAATTTATGAGTTATGCAGGGCTATTACAGAAGAGGTGTAGCTTATCTTGCAATGGGAAAACTTAAAGAAGCTTTGAAAGATTTTCAACAGGTACGTTTATTTCTCAAGGATGAAAACTCACGTGCCTCAAAAAATTTTCACATTTGGTTTATCCTTCTTATTTCTGCAGTGTAATATCTACACAAAGAATTTGTTTCAATTTAGTTTCTAACCTCATTTTTTAATGAAAGATTGTAATAGTCCAACTCGAAAATGATACTAATTTAACTTATTCCTACATATTTTCTTTTCTTCTTCCCACTTCTGTTAGGTGGTGAAAGTCAATCCAAACAATCCTGATGCTGTTAAGAAGTTGAAGGAATGTGAGAGAGCTGTAATGAAACTGAAATTTGAAGAAGCTATTGCAGTCCATGATGTTGAAAGACGATCAGTAGCTGATTCTATTGATTTTCATACTATAGGTATTAGTTTGTCCTTACTATTTGGTTGGCAGCATCTTTGCAGTGTCCGTTTTTCCTCTGTGGGTTTGGTTTATTTGATTACATTCATGCTTATTTTTGCTCCCTTCTAGTCGTTGAAATATATATTTAATTTGAGATGCTTTTTTGCAGCCCTATTTGTGCATATTTCATGTATTATCAATCTCTTTCTACCTTCTCATTTTTTTGATAGATAAAAATTCATTAGATTTCATTAGAAGCAAAGGATAAAGAGTCTGTTACAAGCATCCCAATATGAGGTGCGAGGTGCAGCCTCACTCATTAATACAGAAACAACATAAAGTCATAAGTGGGCCTAGTACAACTGATCCCTAGTTACTCCTTGTTTACCTTGAGAATCAGCAAAAGCATTTGCCTCCCTCCCCACCCATTGTATAGTAACATCCATCTATTGAGTTATCCATTTAAGTTTCTTCATTTCATTTCTGTAACACCAAATCACTGAATCTGGGTCTTTTAGCCAGCCCACCACCACCTTGGAGTCCCCTTCTATCACCAAATTTTCCAATCCCAACTCTCATGCAATCTGTACGCCTTGTAGGGCTGCGTACAATTCTGCCTTTAAAGAGTCTCCACTCCCCACAGGTCCTGAGAAGAGTGCTCTTAAATTTCTTTCCTTGTCTCTGATTACCCCCCCCCCCCATTCCAGCTGGGCTTGGGTTGCCTTTACTACTCCCAATTGAAGTTTAGTTTCAAAAATCCTTCAATGGGTGGTGTCCAAGCCATCCTTGCCTTAACCTTCTGCACTGAGCTAGAAGCCATTACCTGCCAATTCTCCAAATTTAATCAAATGTGAAAATTTTAAATAGTTCCAGAGTTTTTAGCCAGTGTACAACCCTAGCCGTGAAGATTCTGGCATTTCTCTCTTCCCACAAGGTCCACACCACTGCTGCTCTAGTGTACCTCCACATTACTCTTCCCCTCTTCTTCGGTAAAGTAAAGGTAGATGGGTCAAACAACATTTTATCTCCGTTGGCATATTCCACCTGCACCCAAACAAAGAGAAAAACCAACCCCATATATCTGTAGCAAATGAACAAGAAATTAGTAAGTGGTAACAAGATTCACCATTAGATTTGCTTAGAGTGCACCAATTCGGGGAAATACACAGAAAAGGCTTCTTCTTTTGCAAGTAATCTAGAGTGTTAATTTTCCCACGAGCGACTTCCCAACAGATGGGCCTTAATTTTAGGGGGAATCAGCTGAAACCACACTTACAGAGAGGAAGGGGATTGGCAAAGATCTTTAAAAATGGATACACAAGAAAAGGAACCTTTGGAGCTTGGGAACCAAACTCTTCTATCTGGACAAGAAAACTCTAAAAAAACACTATCAAGAAGAAGGAGAAGCTCAGACAAACAAGTTGCTTTCTCATCCCTCAAACTCCTTCGAAACCTGGGATCTGATTGTCTTGAATCCAGGAACATTGAAAATTTGAAATGACCTTATTTTTATACAAAGAAGGAAACAACTCCTTTAAAGGACAATCACCAAACCAAGTGCCTTCCCAGACAGTTGAACCATTGAACCATTGAAGATAAGAGACTGGTTTAAAGTTGAAATCAATTCCAAGCATAAAAATACATTAATTTTAGGTATAGTATTAGAAAATTTCTCTCTTTTTCCACATTCTCAGGTCCATATGGTTATCCTAATCCTATGATTTTTTCATTCCAATTTTTCCAAATTCTATTTAATTTATCTTTGCCATTTTCTCAATTGCCAGCTCCATATAGTTGGGACAAAGCATTGTTGAGTTGAGTTGCGTTTTCCATGTTCACAATACCAAATTTCACCAACTATAATGAATTATAGAAACTCAAAATAAAGTGCATCAACCTGTTTATCATGATGGTGGTCAGTAGGCTTTTTCTTGTGGGGTATATTTTGGCAATTGGGTACTTGGATTTGGAATTTTGGATATCAAAATTGAGTATGACATGTTCTATAAAAAAAGAAGAAAATTGTGTATGACATAGGTTTTAGCTGCCCCCCCTCAATGTGATCTCTTCCATTAGCTTGGTTTGGTAATCCCATGGGGGAGAGATTGAAGAGGATGTTGTTCATAGAATAAGAGCAGGATGGGCACAATGGAGGGGTGCATCTGGAGTCTTATGTGATAGGAAAATACCTCTTGGGTTAAAAGGAAAATTTTATATTACAGTTATAAGGCCTGCAATGTTGTATGGAGCAAAGTGTATTTATCAAAAGAAAAATGTTGTATGGAGCAAAGTGTTGGGCAGTCAAGAAACATGTCCAAAAAATGAGTGGCAGAAGTGCAAATGCTAATATGGATGAGTGAAAAAATTATAAAAGGATAGGATCAGAAATTAACTTGTTCTAAAGAACCTAGGAGTAACTACAATATGTGATAAAATTAGGGAAAGCTGACTAAAATGGTTTGGGCACGTGCATAAAAGACCATCTACAGAACTGGCAAGAAATGATGAGGCTAGAAGGGCTAGGAGCAAACCTAACCTAAAAGGACATAGATTCAAGTAGTGAGAAATGCTTTAAGGGCCCATAGTTTAACAATTTATATGACACTGAATAGAATGGAATGGCAGAATAGGATTC